GACAAAGACCACTGTAAAAATGATAGGCCAATTTATCTTTTAAATGTGGACTACAAGCTGTTTACCTCAATCATCTGTAAAATATGTGAGACTTGTATACCAGATACCAGCATTTCAGGCAGTGAGGAGTGTGTGGCAGAGAAACTCCCTCTGGAGGAATTTTGGAACTTTGGGATTTTAGCCTTTGCAGACCATTTACATGCACAAAAACCTGTATAAAAAAGCGAAATAAGGTCCTTTTATGAAAAAAATTCATACTGCCTAGAGCAGGGGTAGCCAACACGGTGCCCGCGGGCACTCAGTCGCCCGCAGGGGCAACGTGAGGCGCCCACGGGGCACGTTCTAAAAATAGCTCGCCAAGCAAATCCAAAATGTATAAAATACACAAAACAAAAAAGGAAATGTAATTAAAATAATCTACCCCATGCATAAAGGAAACCTCAATCATAGCGAACTCTATCTACTTACTACAACTCTATATCTAACACCCCTCCCCCCACCCCACAATGAATATCGACCAATCACGTTCTTGCTTGATTTGCGGGACCAGCGTTGCAGTCGGGAAGAAAAGCAATGTGGCAGCTCTCCAGGGGCGGATCTACCGGGGTGGCATGGGGTGGCAACTGCCACCCTAAACAATAGCCTTGCCACCCCAGCTGCCACCCCAGTTGGCATCTTTGTTTTGAAAGAAAAGTTGTGGCTCATCGGACATTTATGAGAGAAAGTCTCTAATGTCCGAGTGCAAGTGAATGCAGCACAAGATGCACGTCATGTAACCCCTCCCCCGGTCCTGGCGCGAGAGTGGAAATATGATTGGTGGCGAATTCACTTGAACGTGGGAACGGCGCAAAACGAGAAGCCTTTCGGACCCAAGCACTGAAGGACTGAGGTAGTTGCGGTCTACAATGACAGAGAAGAGAATGTCAAGTTTGGCTGTACTCAGCATTGAATCAAAACGCACTACAGCTGTTGATCTTAATAAGTTTGTGAGGCGTTTTGCTGAACAAAATAGTAATCGCCGCATTAGACAATAGACAATAGGCATGCCAACTTGATGCTCTTCTCACGGATGACTCTATGAGAATAACAAACTGTTAAGATGATGACCTTGTATGCGTGTATATATATTTTTCTTTGAGGGGGTCTGCCCCCAAAAAACAGTTTTAAGTCCTGAGAAAGTAAAATAAGACGGTGTGTAAAACTACACTGCCCAGCCAACAGAAAGTAACCACTTTGATTTAACTAGGCCAGTAGGTAAGGACCTTCCACTGGATAATAACTGCAGCGATGTTTATGTTTTAGCTGAATACACGTTTTTTAACCCTAACTGATGCAGTTAGTCACGTCTTTAATGTTTGTTCTTTCTGATGTAAAGTCAAGGTTGTAACTGTATATCAATAATGATATAATTACTTGTTTTTCAAATTTGAAGGAGGGTGAGCAAGCATCTTGATGAACATTCATCATTAACTCCTCCAAAAAATATAGTTTATTCAATAATAAATGAATATGTGAATCATAACAGTTCTTCACTATATCTGTAAAGCGTCTTTGAGCACCTGTAAAAACGCTAACAAATTAAATCTATTATTATTATTATTTATTAACAGTGATTGACAGCTGATAGGAATAATATGATTGTTAATAGTATCATATTCATTCAGACAAACATCGATGAGACAGTTAATTAATGTACTTATTGCAGCAGTGTGCATAGATTTGGTTCACCTGCTGGTCTAAGAGTGAGACAAACTCATTCAGTTATTGTTCAGTTAAAATTCAGTAAATTACGTCTGCCACCTTATATGTAAGGCTTTACTGATGTACCACAATAATATCACCTATGTGATTGAGTTAAAATATTAATATTGTGGCTTTCCAAGTTAACATTGATTGTAGGGGTGTAACGGTTCACAAACATTTCGGTTCGGTACGTACCTCGGTTTTTAGGTCACGGTTCGGTTCGGTTCGGTACAGCAGAAAACATTATCACAAAACATTAAAAACATTTTTTTAATTAGTGTTAAACTGTGACTAATGGATTCAAATAAATACAAAATATAATAAAATAAACATTAAGGTGCAGCATTTCGATGAACTGAAATAATCTGTATTTGAACTGTACTAGCACCTAAGCAGCCAGCTTGACATTAGGACTTGCTTGTCATTGTATTTTCATGTTGTTTAAAGAAAGATGAACTTGTCCACATTGCTTGCTGAAAGGGCAGATCTGCTGGCACTAACAATGTCTCCTGCTGTGGAGAACACCCTCTCTCTAGGGACAGAGGTAGCAGATACAGCCAGGTAGCGCTTTGCTAACATGGCAACATAAGGATACTTGGCGTTTGTAATAGCTTTGGCTCGGTCTGAACTTGTTGCGAGTGGTGGAGGCTTAAATGCTAGAGGGAGTTGGGTTTGCACTTCAGTCTTTTTTCTTTTGGTACCGGTGATATTCACGTTCGGGTGATGCCTTTTCAAATAAGTGTGCAAGTTTGATGTATTGCCAGCCGCGTAACCAATGTTAGTTGAACAATCCCGACAAACAGCTTTGGTTCGGTCCACCTGTCTTTGTACGTAACTGCAAAACCAAATGTTCCCAAACCGGAGACTTCAATGATGCTGGAGGATTTTTAGCTCAACTTTATCTGCGTTCGCCATTTCGACAGTTCCTCAAATTACTGACTACATTTGAAAGCATCCCTGTGACCAGCTCTCATAGTATGCCTCTCGTCCAATGAAATGACTTGGTCGCTCTATGATATATACCTGAGATTACTTCCAGAAAGTTGTTCATGTTCTCAATTTTTTACGTTTAACGCTATATTCGTTCGGTACACACGTGTACCGAACCGAAGGGCCCGTACTGAATAATTTCAGTACGGGTACGTGTACCGTTACACCCCTAATTGATTGATATGATTGCGATTTAAATCAGCATATACTCCTGTCAGGGGATGCCACCCCTCAAAATCTCCTGCCACCCTCTTGCCACCCCATGAATATATGTCTAGATCCGCCCCTGCACCTCCCCGTGATTTTCCTTCTGGCAGAATCTACACAACACATCACCCCCATTGAACAGCCTATCATGCCAGCCTATACAGCACATGAGGGCCAGAGTTTTACTGTGTGTGTTGCATCCATGGTTGCAACTTGCATATATATTTATTCCACTTGACGCACACACACGCATGGTGTAATCTCCACTGGGGACAGGGGGGACATGTCCCCCGCACTTTTCGAAATACCATTTGTGTCCCCCCACTTTACAAATATGTATTATTATTTTTTTTAACGCAAGCCGTCATCGCCACGGAGGAGCACACAGCCTCTGTGAGCGAGGGAGGGAGTGAGGGAGAGAGAGAGCTAGGGAGAGCACACCTTTATCTATTTAATATAGATAAAGTAAGAAATCATTCCAATGTGTACTATACCCTCCTGGGACCCGAGGAAAAAAAGTGTCTTCCAATTTCCTTTTTTTTGTGATTTCCTACCTATTTAGGGTTAAAAAAACATCTTGCAATTTAGACTTTTTTTGTAGAGGACGTCGGGACCATATTAGTTTGAACAGACAGCCAAAATTAACAGATGGACTATGTAACGTATTATGGTTATAGAGTGATATTAATACAATAATACATTCACCTTTATTTAAAACATGAATAAGTAATTGATCTGAACATTGCTGTTTATTTGGTCAATACAAAACTAGCTTGTTTTTTGGTGAATCTTTCCAGATCTTCAAAGACTTTGTAGTCGATGTAGTGGGAAAGTACCTCATTGACTCCAGTCAGCACGGGCTGTAGGGTCATCTGGACTAGTTTTATGGATGTGGTCTCCATTTGAGCTGCTCATAGAAACAAAGCTTGCATTCCTGAGGCAATTCTCATTTTTCATGGCTCCAATTAAAATAAAAACAAAAATAAGACAAACGTGCTACTCTTGGCCCACAGAGGGCCATGTCTTTCCAGCTCGTTCCTATCTGTCTCTATGTATCTATCCGTGCGCTCATGGAGCCTCCTGCATCTTCCCCCCCCTTCTTCTTGACCCTCTTCTTTCCCAGGTGTGAAAGCCTCATCTCTCTCATCATCTGAGAGCTCAAAATCTGAATCTCCCTGAACTATCTGGTACAGAAAATGTCTGCTTCAGTTCCGTCTCCTGCAACAATATTGAGTCATAAAGTCCATGAAGATAGTCCTGACGTCCACTAGAATGGACATTTATAAAAGGGCTGTTATTTGAAAACTTGAATTATTTAATTGCTTTCAGAACTAATTCTATAGTTCCTCACATGTTAATAAACAAGAACATATATGATTTTCATGGTAAAAATGACAATTATTCAACAATATTTGACTTCTCCTCCTGCTTCTATAACATTTAGTTTTTCGTATGCCAGCCATTTTGGATGAAAAGAAAGAGGAACTTCCCAGCATGCAATGTTAACCGATGACATATCACTGGAAAGACCAGGATGTCCTCTGTACAGCACATCAGGGATTGATACAGTAGCTCAAAAGAGTCAAAGGAGATGCATGTTAACAAAATGTCCACTACAGTGGACATTTTCAATGGGCTGGGTCCCAGGAGGATACTGTAGGACAGTACAAAACAGTTTAAAAGGGGAGTGATTAGTAAAATATGCATAAAGAAAAAGAAAGAATGCTAACTAGGGAACATAAGATAAGAATAAACAAGTTGAAATGAAAATGTTTGGAGTATTGAAAAGTATACAGCTCTCTTTCATCTGAGTGTTGAGAGCTGTATCCATCAATTCATTTTGCTCTCAAAGTGCACCAGATTGATGCATTTCACTTCAACATTTAAAAATAATAATGTTAAAATGTGCTAAATATATACACTGCAAAAAACAAAAAAAGAGGAGTAAAAGTAGCTCACGACTTGTTTTATTTTTTGAAAGTAGCCCTCATCCTAAAAAAGGTTGGTGACCCCTGGCCTAGAGCTACTTAAAGCCAGTAAATGCTTCTGTCCTCTGTCAGAGCTTCAACAGAAGCAACGTCTCCACGTCAGCCTCATGTCAGGGCTCTCAGTGTCTGTTCGCCTTCTACGGGGGGGAGACGTCCTACCACCGACACCTCTCCCTGCTGCAGCTGTCCAACCTGCTGCTCTGCCTCTGGCTCATCAACTTCAGCCTGGCTCTGGAGCAGTGCACGCTGGCCGGGACCTTCGCCAGCTACTACTGGGCCAGGAGGAAGCCTCAGGACATCCCCCCATGTCCCCTCTTCTCCTCGTTCAGCAGGGCCCTCAGGTCAGGACCCAGAACACGCTGATTCAGCGTCTCTCACACTGTTAGACATATAGTCATACATAACAGTGTAACAATGCGTTGAATCTTTAGGTATCACACCGGGTCTCTGGCATTTGGAGCTCTGATTCTGTCGGTTGCACAGCTGGTACGGATCATTCTGGAATATGTGGAGCAGAGACTAAAAGGTGACACATTCATTTTTGTATATACTTTCACATATCATTTTTGTCATTGAAATTGTTAATGTATTCATTTTATTATGTTCTTAATCTTTTGGTACAACTTCCTTCACACTCCTATACTGATAGTTGCCACAATACAATGTGTGGTGCAGGAACCAAGCATGCTGGGTATGCTGGCTGTTCACTGGTTATCTCATGCTTCTTTCTTCTACAGATGTGTGTCTCTGTCACATGCCATACTCTAAGTGCTCTATATGTACTAATGTGTGTGTGTGCGTATGTGTGTGTTTGCGTGCGTGTGTGTGCGTGCGTGTGCATGTATGCGTGCGTGCGTGTTCCAGGTGTTAACAACGTTGTGTCCAGGTTCCTCCTGCACTGTCTGCAGTGCTGCTTCTGGTGTTTGGAGAAGTTCATACGCTACATGAACCGTAACGCTTATATCATGGTGAGTGAACATGCAGAGTAGAACACAGACCAGCTGATCACTTAGTCTGTGTGTGACAGCTGTTTGCTCTCTCCTCCACCAGGTGGCCATCTATGGTAAGAACTTCTGTACCTCTGCAAGAGAAGCCTTCTTCCTGCTCATGAGGAATGTGGTGAGGTAGGTTTACTTTTTCAAAAGCTCTGTTTTGACAGGGTTTTTACACTAGTGTTTATACCGTAAGAGAGGAAGATTATAATAATGCAACTCAGTCCACAGCCCTTAAACACGTCCATGTTTGATGATGAGTGCTGAGGTTGATCTGTCCCTCTCTGTGCAGGACTGCAGTTCTGGACAGAGTGACAGACTTCCTGTTGTTCCTGGGCAAAGCGCTGATAGCTGGAGGAGTTGGTAAGTGACAATACAAAGCTCCACTATTAATGTTTCATATTAATATTAACTAATACAAATCAAATAAAAAAACCCTCTTCAGCATGTAGCACTTCCAAAGGATTTGGCTAATGCAGTGGCACTTAATATGGGTTTAGAGATTGGAAATGTACCTGCAGGATTCTTGCTTTGGAGTTTGTTCTTCATGGTTGAATGCAGTTATTTTAAGACATTTTGGATAAAAGCGTCAACAAAAATGAAATGTAATGTAATATTAATATAAGTGGTGGCAATCGATTTAAAAAAATAATCTCTTTCCACAAAAATATTCTGTGATTAATCGTGATGAATGACACATTTAGAATACTAGTAATAGTTTTTTGGGGGAGATGAAGTGAATACAAGTTGTAATAAAGATATCACTAACAGGTCGGAGGTTTCTTTAATTTAATGACATCTCTGCTTAGTTTTGATGATTTCAAAAGTATTAGGGTGGAGTCTGACACTAAAGCATACATACGTATACATATATGTTTCCCAGAAAATAAGACATTGTGTCACTCTGCATGTGTGTGTGTGTGTGTGTGTGTGTGTGTGTGTGTGTGTGTGTGTGTGTGTGTGTGTTTCAGGTGTGGTTACATTATTCCTCTTCACTAAGAAGATCCCTGTTTTCCAGGAAGAAGTGCCCAGTCTCAATTACTACTGGGTCCCCCTGCTGGTCAGTCACACACACACACACACACACACACACACACACACACACACACACACACACACACACACACACACACACACACACACACACACACACCTCCAAGATCTCATCTCACAAACCTGAATGAATAAATTGTTAACCTCCAGGTATATCAATAGAATACCGAAAATGAAATTCTCAAGTGAACTTCGCACATTGAATTATGCTATGAATATTGAATAAGCCTGTTTACCGCATTAAATAATGTTTATATATTTATTTTTGAGGATGAATAATATATTCTATTGTATTCCACAAAAATATATCTGAACAACACATTAAGATGATGAAACACTGAAATGTAATGAAAGTCAGATCCACTCGTGTGGCAGTGATATTCATTTACAATATTCTTCCTCCAGCTGCATCTATTTGCTTTTAATAATCAATTTTCCTGGATTATGTGTTGAAGTCATGGATGTATACAGTTTAATTTATACTGTACGCTGTTTATCTGTACGCTTGTCAGTACCATTTGTGAGCGGCCGAATGGGGCTAACTCGGCTCTGTCATGTGAGCGTGTAGTATCCGGAGTGGTCGAAGTGGCTCCGTAGAACAGGCCCTGCTGAGGTTTCTGAACGGTTGAAGTGGCTCCGTAGAACAGGCCCTGCTGAGGTTTCTGAACGGTTGAAGTGGCTCCGTAGAACAGGCCCTGCTGAGGTTTCTGAACGGTTGAAGTGGCTCCGTAGAACAGGCCCTGCTGAGGTTTCTGAACGGTTGAAGTGGCTCCGTAGAACAGGCCCTGCTGAGGTTTCTGAACGGTTGAAGTGGCTCCGTAGAACAGGCCCTGCTGAGGTTTCTGAACGGTTGAAGTGGCTCCGTAGAACAGGCCCTGCTAAGGTTTCTGACCCGTGTGTTTCTTGTGATCAGACGGTGGTGCTCGGGGCCTTCCTGATCGCTCATGCTTTCTTCAGCGTCTACGCCATGTGTGTCGACACGCTCTTCCTCTGCTTCTGTAAGTTAACACTTCATTACTATTTAGTAACACTTCAATAAAGTAGTTCTGGATATGCTTCATTAGGTCTGCTCAGTTTCTTTACCATTAACCAGTCTTTAAACACTGCAGAGCCCGTACTGTGTTCCTGTTAGTGTTTACTTCCTGTCTGTCTTCTTCCCCATCGTCTATCCCTTGACCTCTGTGTGAAACGGCACGGGGTTAACCTCTTCTACACAGCACCCCCGATACCGGGGGGAAAACGCGTCATCTGCAAGAAACAGCATCTGAGGGCATCTTAATATTCAATAAACTATGAATGTTGTATATCCATGTAACGGGAAGAAACTCAGCTAACTGATCATTTTAAAAAAAAAAAAATTTAAAACCACAAAGCTAGCGCCGAGCCTCTGAATTAGCTACGAGCAAAACAATCTTAAGGCCGTTAGCACAGAACTCTAGCTACACTGATCAATATACTTATTGGATCTGCACCAACAAGCTTAGATAACATCCTGAGAGTCCACAGATTATAGAACTATAAGGATCATCACTGAGCGATCAGAACTCGTGACAGGGGAAGCAAATACAGACAACACACAACGTAGCTTTAGGTAGCAGAACACGGAGATATGCTCAGTTTAGCTGTTATTCTGATCAAAAGTCGTGTTCAATGGCATTAAAACGAGAAAAAACGCGGCTGAAGGTTAATCCATAGGTTATAGCAGTGGTTCTCAAACTTTTTTTAATAATGTACCCCCTTTGAAAAAAAAATTCAGCCAAGTACCCCCTGATCAGCTTAAAAACAATTTGTTAGGGAAAACAGGCCTATATAAAGAGGTACAGTACAGCGCTGCACCATCGGTGTCTGATTTATTAAAACAACAACAATGTAACTAAGAAACACTTAAATGCTACATTTCAAATGTTTACAATCCATCACTAAATTCATGGCAAACCAATTTTAACATCATGCAATAACACTAAGACGACATTAGTTGCATTGAACTGATCTTTTTAATAAGTTGTATTTACAATGTAGTGAAACATGGGCTTGTGCTTCACTGAGGATCTTTGTCATTCTGACAGGGAGGCTAACTGCAGTTATTACACTTCGCGTTTTGAAATATGTGTAACTCTGTTCATATAAAACCCACACTGCTCAAACTTCCTTACTTTTCCTAAAATGTGTATATTTATTTATTTATTTTGGGGCGTGGGGAATGAAGAGAAAAAAAAATATTAGCATTTTAAGAGCATGGGATTTTGACCCCTCATATAAACATATGCATAATGCTGCGCTATACCTTGCGGCCACACGCCGTTGCCAAGCAACGCTTATTGTTTAGGTGTCCTTTGATAAGCAGGCCGTCATATCATTAGCTAGAACTAGCTAGATCTGATAGATTTGGACATAAACGCGAGTGAAGTCTAACCGGACGCGAGAGAGAGATAAGATCAGCTGCTGCTGACGGAGAACACGCAGCTCTGCATAATCACAGCTCCGCCGCTGTGACGGACCGTTGAGTGGAGCAAAATGAAATACACTAAGAGTTAGACCTAACACACTTAGCTAGTTTATCTACTCTGGAACTAGCTAAACTAGTTATAAATATATGTATTCTTTACTGTCGGGTCACTTATTACAGGTTCAGCGAGCTGCACGAGACTGACGGGCTGTCAGGAGAGGGAGCGGAAAAGAGAGCACCCCGTTTATTGTTCCTATGTTATTATCCAGAGTTTCTGTAAACCTTTGAATAAAGTAGTTCATCTACTATTAGTAGTTTGTTTAAATGCATTACTTATGTTTTTTTTTTTCATTAACATAAAATAAATCTCACGTACCCCCTGCAGTACTCCAACGTACCCCTAGGGGTCCGCGTACCCCCATTTGAGAACCACTGGGTTATAGCAATGTGTCTGTCACTTTGAACAAATTATTGTTAATCCATAATTCAATTTTTATGAAAAAATCGGAGAAGAAAAATGTGCTGCTAATGGTAGCCACTAGAGGTTAACGCAGCTTCCGGTTTTTCTACACGTCTCTCACTCTTTTTTTGGTAAGCTGTGTGTGTATGGGGGACTTTCCCTCGATTCCATTGGCTCTGACGGTTAGAAAGAGATGTCAATCAGCAAAATCGACCAAGGGGGGCCAGAGATATGGAAAATCCACCCAAATGGCCCCAGAAGTGTTTTTTTTGTGCTAAACCTCTCTAAAAAGGTCAAATTTCACTTGTTTTGCATCAATCTTGATACAGGGTACTTATTATATGTTGTACTTTGGATTCCTAAAGCTTTTAGTCTACTAACCCATCATCCAAGGTTAGTTTTCACTATAAGTACAACATATTATTTGGACGGACACTATAATTTACAGTTTTTTACTATGTTCAATGTTCAATTTTCTTTAAAATAAAAAACATCTATATTGATTCTGACTTTTCTACATCCAACTCACAGGTTTATCATTACTTTGAGAACAAAGATTATTAATTTAACCCTTTTAGAAGTGTAGTTATGGTCATTTGTTCTGGAAATGTCATTTTCGAGCCTGAGACCTGAAAAACAGGCTCAGTGCTTAACAGGTTAAGGGATAGTGGATAGGAGAATTCAAAAGGACTTAGGAGAAGAGACTGCGGTACTTTAGAGAATCGAATGCACTTTCACTATCTGACGTGTTTATGATGCGCCAGCGGACGTCATGAATGTGCGTCTGCTGCTGTGGGGAAACTATGGAAACTACAGTTTTCTATACAGCGGACTACAACATGGATGTTTAATAAGAACGAGGGACTACTGTAAACTCATCTAGAGACTCTGCACCGTGCTCTGATGCTGTTGCTTTATGCTTTATGAACGTGGACAACAGAGAAACAGATTCTTCATGACCAAAGCTGGAATTGAAATAAAAAAGGAAAGTGAAACTTCTGCTCGTCGTCACCCTCTCCCTCCGGTCCACATTAATACAAATGATCCCAATACGTATGATTGTATTAAAAGATCTTAAAATCAATACAAATGCATTTATTATAAACGTTAGTCCTTAACATCTATCACTGTGTATATCACCATTCAAACATCTTTTAAAAGTTGAACAAACCCCACACAGCTCAGTAAAGACTGTGAGATGTTGACTTTATTTGATCATTTCAGTAAAAACTAACGTTCATATTTCTCTCTTTGATTATAATACTGATGAACGTTCAAAACAAAGCACTTTGGCAACTTACCACATACGTTTTAAAATGCTTAATAAGCACTGTAACTTTCACGATATAATTTCTCGGTCATAATCGGTTGTTTCCGTGAACGGCCGACTGTTGAGTGACGGCAAATGCTGCGGCTGCAATGCATTGTGGGGCAGCATTTTCTCCTCTCCTTTCGGTTAGGGAGGTCCAGTGGTTCCTAAGCTAAAGGAGGTTATAAAGGAAGCTTGAAACCTCCTTTCCTTTCATTTGGAGAATTGGAACGGCACTTAACATGGCTGCCACTGAGGGACTTCCGGGTCATTTCACTCCGTTAGGAAGGTTCCTAAGCTAAATGGACTATTGGAACGCAGCCCTGCTGTTCCCTTTAGTGTTTACTTCCTGTCTTTCTTCTTCTGCTGTTCCCTTTAGTGTTTACTTCCTGTCTTTCTTCTTCTGCTGTTCCCTTTAGTGTTTCCTTCCTGTCCGTCTTATTCTGCTGTTCCTGTTAGTGTTCACTTCCTGTCTTTCTTCTTCTGCTGTTCCCTTTAGTGTTTACTTCTGTTGATTTCTCTAGCCTCCAAATCTCTGTCTTTTAACCTTGTTACCGCTCTTGTTCTCTTTTTTCTTTTCTGGGGACAGTTTAGCCATCATGAATCCAAAGTTTCTTGATCTCCACACATATAAAAATGTATATTCAAAGAGTATTCCGTGGTGTTTTCTGACATAGAAAACTAATGTGTGTTTTCCACAGCTGGTTAATTTGACCAGACTTTGTTCTGTGGACTGATGACTGCACACAGTCTCTTAATCCTCCTTAGCAAAGGTGTCTCTCAACCATGCCGTGTAATATTATGCATTGTGGTTTTTTTCTCCAAATGTTACTGATATACATTTACTTCTCATACTTTGGTTCAATGCATTGAGTGCATTTTGTACTCTTGTACGGTATCTCTTTTAACCTCTTTCTGTCCTTTGTCCCCCCCCCCCACCCCCCACGCACCTGCTCTCCTCCATCCTGACCTGGTTGTTTCCAACAGGTGATGACCTGGAGAGGCATGATGGTAGTTCAGGAAAACCTTTCCTCATGTCCCCTCAGCTGCATAGGATTCTGGGGAAATCCTCTCAGTCTCCTCGATAAGCAATCCTCCTGCATCAGAGACGTCCTCACACAGAGAGACAGAGACGTCCTCACACAGAGAGACAGAGACATCCTCACACAGAGAGACAGAGACATCCTCACACAGAGAGACAGAGACATCCTCACACAGAGAGACAGAGACGTCCTCACACAGAGAGACAGAGACATCCTCACGCAGAGAGACAGAGACATCCTCACGCAGAGAGACAGAGACATCCTCACGCAGAGAGACAGAGACGTCCTCACGCAGAGAGACAGAGACGTCCTCACGCAGAGAGACAGACGTCCTCAGACAGAGAGACAGAGACGTCCTCACACAGAGAGACAGAGACGTCCTCAGACAGAGAGACAGAGACGTCCTCACGCAGAGAGACAGAGACGTCCTCAGACAGAGAGACAGAGACATCCTCACACAGAGAGACAGAGACGTCCTCAGACAGAGAGACAGAGACGTCCTCACGCAGAGAGACAGAGACGTCCTCACACAGAGAGACAGAGACATCCTCACGCAGAGAGACAGAGACGTCCTCACGCAGAGAGACAGAGACGTCCTCACGCAGAGAAACAGAGACGTCCTCACACAGAGAGACAGAGACATCCTCACACAGAGAGACAGAGACGTCCTCACGCAGAGAGACAGAGACGTCCTCACACAGAGAGACAGAGACGTCCTCAGACAGAGAGACAGAGACGTCCTCACACACAGAGACAGAGACATCCTCACACAGAGAGACAGAGACGTCCTCACACAGAGAAACAGAGACGAAACAGAGACGTCCTCACACAGAGAGACAGAGACGTCCTCACACAGAGAAACAGAGACGAAACAGAGACGTCCTCACACAGAGAGACAGAGACATCCTCACACAGAGAGACAGAGACGTCCTCACACAGAGAGACAGAGACGTCCTCACACATAGAAACAGAGACATCCTCACACAGAGAGACAGAGACGTCCTCACACAGAGAGACAGAGACGTCCTCACACAGAGAGACAGAGACATCCTCACACAGAGAGACAGAGACATCCTCACACAGAGAGATAGAGACGTCCTCAGACAGAGAGACAGAGACGTCCTCACACAGAGAGACAGAGACGTCCTCAGACAGAGAGACAGAGACGTCCTCACACAGAGAGACAGAGACGTCCTCAGACAGAGAGACAGAGACGTCCTCACGCAGAGAGACAGAGACATCCTCACGCAGAGAGACAGAGACGTCCTCACGCAGAGAGACAGAGACGTCCTCACGCAGAGAAACAGAGATGTCCTCACACAGAGAGACAGAGACGTCCTCAGACAGAGAGACAGAGACGTCCTCACACAGAGAGACAGAGACGTCCTCACACAGAGAGACAGAGACGTCCTCAGACAGAGAGACAGAGACGTCCTCACGCAGAGAGACAGAGACGTCCTCACGCAGAGAGACAGAGACGTCCTCACGCAGAGAGACAGAGACGTCCTCACGCAGAGAAACAGAGACGTCCTCACACAGAGAGACAGAGACATCCTCACGCAGAGAGACAGAGACGTCCTCACGCAGAGAGACAGAGACGTCCTCACACAGAGAGACAGAGACGTCCTCAGACAGAGAGACAGAGACGTCCTCACACACAGAGACAGAGACATCCTCACACAGAGAGACAGAGACGTCCTCACACAGAGAAACAGAGACGAAACAGAGACGTCCTCACACAGAGAGACAGAGACGTCCTCACACAGAGAAACAGAGACGAAACAGAGACGTCCTCACACAGAGAGACAGAGACATCCTCACACAGAGAGACAGAGACGTCCTCACACAGAGAGACAGAGACGTCCTCACACATAGAAACAGAGACATCCTCACACAGAGAGACAGAGACGTCCTCACACAGAGAGACAGAGACGTCCTCACACAGAGAAACAGAGACGTCCTCAGACTGAGAGACAGAGACGTCCTCAGACTGAGCAACTTCCCCACTCTAAGAGACATACCAACACAGTTTCAGAGAGACGTCCCCTCAAGAAGAGACATCAACAGAGAGACGTCCCCACACAGAGAAATGTCGCCACACAAAGAAAGAAGTCCCAACACTTATAGATGTACTCACACAGAGAGATGTCTCATCAGAGAGAAACACCTCCACACAGAGAGACATCAAAATAGACATCCCACACTGAGAGACGTCCAAACACAGAGAGACGTCCCACACAGAAACAGACTGATGTCCCAACACTAAGAGACGTCCCCACAAAGAGATACCTCCCCAAACTGGGAGACAGAGACGCCCCCATAAGAGCAAGAAATAGACACCCCCACACAGAGAGACAGAGACACAACTCCTCAATGTAAAATGTCACCAAACTGACATACGTCCCCATAATAAGAGACGTCCCTGCACTGAAAGACATCGAAAGAGAGACATCAACAAAGAGCCGTCCAAACACAGAGAGACTTCAACAGAGAGACGTCCCTGCACTGAAAGACATCGAAAGAGAGACATCAACAAAGAGCCGTCCCAACACAGAGAGACTTCAACAGAGAGACGTCCCTGCACTGAAAGACATCGAAAGAGAGACATCAACAAAGAGCCGTCCAAACACAGAGAGACTTCAACAGAGAGACGTCCCTGCACTGAAAGACATCGAAAGAGAGACATCAACAAAGAGCCATCCCAACACAGAGAGACTTCAACAGAGAGACGTCCCAACACAGAGAGACGTCAACAGAGAGACGTCCCAACACAGAGAGACTTCAACAGAGAGACGTCCCAACACAGAGAGACGTCAACAGAGAGCCGTCCCAACACAGAGAGACTTCAACAGAGAGACGTCCCAACACAGAGAGACGTCAACAGAGAGACGTCCCAACACAGAGACACGTCAACAGAGAGCCGTCCCAACACAGAGAGACTTCAACAGAGAGACGTCCCTGCACTGAAAGACATCGAAAGAGAGACATCAACAAAGAGCCGTCCAAACACAGAGAGACTTCAACAGAGAGACGTCCCTGCACTGAAAGACATCGAAAGAGAGACATCAACAAAGAGCCGTCCAAACACAGAGAGACTTCAACAGAGAGACGTCCCTGCACTGAAAGACATCGAAAGAGAGACATCAACAAAGAGCCATCCCAACACAGAGAGACTTCAACAGAGAGACGTCCCAACACAGAGAGACGTCAACAGAGAGACGTCCCAACACAGAGAGACTTCAACAGAGAGACGTCCCAACACAGAGAGACGTCAACAGAGAGCCGTCCCAACACAGAGAGACTTCAACAGAGAGACGTCCCAACACAGAGAGACGTCAACAGAGAGACGTCCCAACACAGAGACACGTCAACAGAGAGCCGTCCCAACACAGAGAGACTTCAACAGAGAGACGTCCCTGCACTGAAAGACATCGAAAGAGAGACATCAACAAAGAGCCGTCCCAACACAGAGAGACTTCAACAAAGAGCCGTCCCAACACAGAGAGACTTCAACAGAGAGACGTCCCAACACAGAGAGACGTCAACAGAGAGACATCAACAGAGAGCCGTCCCAACACAGAGAGACTTCAACAGAGAGACGTCCCTGCACTGAAAGACATCGAAAGAGAGACATCAACAAAGAGCCGTCCCAACACAGAGAGACTTCAACAGAGAGACGTCCCAACACAGAGAGACTTCAACAGAGAGACGTCCCAACACAGTGAGAAGTCAACAGAGAGACGTCCCCACACTGAGAGACGTCCCTTCACAGAGAGAGAGGTTGACAGAGACCTGGCTGCTCTAGTTCTATGCTGCTGAACACAAAGCAGGATGATACTTACTGAAATATTAAATGTGAGCGACCACCAACAGTGACAGGAATGAAGAAGCAACAGTGAGTTAAAAGTCAAAAACAGATTAAGTTGTCTTCAGGTATTTGCCGTATATCACTCTCTGCACTAACTTATTTGCTGTGTGTCTGCCCTTGTTGTGCTGGAGTCGTATTGAAGTGACATTGCTTTGCATGTGCATTACTTTGTATTTCAAATGTATTTACTAAGGCCTTCTATGGACTACCTTTTTTACATTGTGTGTGTTTCTGAATGTTCAAACACAGTAACTGTAACGTCGTTCACTTCTGACCTTTTTGGAAAACGTCTTTCAAACCCAGGAGCCCATCAGGACTTTTTCTGGGGCAGCGCTTCCTATTCGCTCCACTCTTTTTGATAACAGAAGTTTGATGCTCAAGTCATGATTTACACAAAGAACTGAGATCTGCAATATTCAATGTAAGAAGTTGTGAAGCCACGGTTTACAAATGTATACTCCTGTATACTGTATTTGTAGTGTCTTGTTTTTTTAGGGGGGGATATTTGAATAAAATCTAATTTTCATATCTTAATTTAAAAAAAATGTCTTCAGCACATACATGAAACAAAAAAAAGAAATGATGAACTTATTTTCACATCCTGAATTCACTTATGATGATTTGTTGAAATTATTTGATCTGATCGCTCCGTTTAGTTGAATTGCATTTTGTGAGCCAGTCCGTACATTCAGTACGGACTGGCTTTGTTCCAGTGTACATTCTGGAAACGTAAATATATCATCAGGAGCAGTTTGGAGTAGCAACAGATAATTAGCAAGGGTGTCAGCTGATCGATGATGTCACAAGCTCTTCATCATCACATTTTTGTTTTGGAGCCTTTAACGCAGCTTCGATGTCACCTGTAAGGTCAGTATTGAAAGCAAACAAAGAGACCTGGAACAAATTCAATAATGATTGGTCAAAGGTCAATGATGATCATGTTCACATGTTCAAATGTACTTCCAACTGTGAATGAACACTGCCACAGTCTCCACACTATATTATATACACTATATATGTCCACACTATGTGGACAGATGTTAGAAGAGGTGACCCACCACTTTTATCTTGGGGTGGAAATTCACAGGCAAACCGTTAGCTGAGCTTCCTAAGCCGGAACCTACGACGCTGTACACAGAAACTGAAGGAGACAGCTTTTGTGGTCCTTGTACGCTCATAGTACGCCAGCTCGGTCTGGGACCTCTACACCGATAAGGACAAGGATGCTCTGGAACCAGAACAACAAAGAGGTGCTAGATTCATTTTTGGAGATTATAACTGGGACAGCAGTTTCATAGAAATGCTCAAACGGTTAAACTGGGAGGAAATTGAG